CAGAGTAGTGAAGCAAAAGGTAGCCCTAGAAGACAAGAAAAATAATTATAACAAATAAATTGAAAATGTAATGATAGTGCTGATGAAAACAAATAAAAATCATCACTGTGGAGCCTGTATTAAAGAACTATAAAAATCTGAACATTTATTTGACAGAAGATTCAGAAGTTGTACTTGTTTTTTAACATAATAATGCAGGTTTGAAGAAACTCAAGTTTTGTCTCAACAGAAAAGTGACTCATCTACCTTCCTAAATGCCTGTGTCTTTTGAAGCATGTATATTTCTCATATTTTGATCTGGATTCAATGTAACCAGATTAATGAGGGTTTATTATACATTCATTATATCTATTTGTTTTTGGAGTTGGATTGAGTGTGTTTTTAATTTCGTTTTTTAAATGCTGTCTTGTATGTAGTATACTTGAATAGTTTTTAATGGTGTGGATGTAAATGTGGCCCATTTTTGTTTTTGTATTTGCATATGTTTGTGACCCTTTCTCTCTTTTTATTTGTCTGTGTAGAGCTGTTATTCCTGATTGGTGTCCATCTTGGCTGTTATTTCTTCTTTAATGACCTCTGTCCTGGTTTGGTCAATATCCATCCAGGAGATGAGAGTATTTCAAAGGACCTCAAACTTCTCAAAGTGGTTCTTAATTCAACTTCAATCTTGGCTTCCAGTCTTTCCGTCAATTCTTCTTTCAGTTCTTTTAGGTAGGCATCTGCCTTGGTTTGGCTGGTTCTCATTTCAGGCAGCAGGCATGCCATCATTTGTTCCATCTCCATTGTGTGGCGATATAGTGTAATCCTGGAACCAAATAATTCAATCGATTCAACCTTTTCCAATCCAACCACTTCTGACACCAGTTGTCATGTGTATAAGTGTGACTATTGATGGGGTTTTGAATTGGAGTTCACAGACAATGTCAAAAAAGAAATTCTGGCTAAACTTACTCAATTTTGGTTGCCATCTCCTTCAAAATAGTCTCCTTGGGAACATATACAGGGATCCCATCGTTTTTACCACTTCAGAAGCACTGGAAGTCATTTTCCTTAATGCTGTTGAGAACCGCTTGTGATTCCCTTTGGATGTCAGACACTGTTTCAAAATGTCATCCCTTCAGTTTCATTTTCAATTTGGAAAACAAAGCTAAATCACAAGGGCTAAGTCCAGTGAGTAGGGAGGATGGGAACGATAACCATGTTGTTAGTCACAAACTCTACCGTGTGAGCAGGCGTGTTGTCATTATGAAGGAGCCAGTTGTGGTTGCACCAAAGTTCCAGCCTTTTTCATCGCACATTTTCTCTCAAGTGTCTCAAAATATCACAGTAAAAGTCAGAGTTGACCGTAGTATTAGGAGGAACCAATTCATGGTGACGGCTTGTAATAATGGAAATTCTTCAGCTTCTGTGCTCACTTCATTGCCCGCTTGCTCTCAACTGCACCAACTAAGTATCTACTTAACAGAGTCCCTTACAACTCTGACAAACTTCCAGACCCATCCCAGTTATGACATCTTGACACAGACTGCATAGGAAACACCATTCATTGTTGTACTCCAATCACTTCCATGGGAACGTGTTTGTTTGTGAAAGTATTACTCAGTAATGGTTGTGTATAGTTGGTTATCGTGGATCTGTTGCATAGCACCACATGTTGTTTAGTTGCTTGTTTCAAGATTGCTACCCAGTACTGGGCTTGCTACAATATATAAATAATTTAATTGTGGACATTAAACTTATCTACACTGTATGGCTTGTCGTTCCAAGATTTACCCACACTAAGCTTCAGACCTTAATTCCACCTGAAAGTGTCTTTGAAGTCATATCACATACAGACACTTCAGTAAACGTTATCATACATGTTCAGATGCAGTGTTCTGTCCTTGTATGTTTCTGTAATCATGTAGATACTGCATGTAAATTTGCTCTTTCTGTTCTTGTAGGCAAGAACTGAGATAATAGAGTCCAGTAGACCACATCTCTTTTCTCTAGCCATTTCTGACCAAAATGTCTTGTTTTATTCTCCATGAGATGGCGTGTCATTATGGAATAACATGTGCTATCAACTCTGCCTTTCATTGTCCACACACACACTTTGGATTCTTATAAATATTTCTATGTACACAGTCTGAAGAAACTATAGAATGACTGTTTTGAGATAAATTTTATTAAATATGCTCTTAGGTGATGTAAACATTAGAGAGCACATTGTTGTTTTAAAAGTTACAAATATTCTCTTTAATCTCTTGAAACTTAATATATATATGTATATATGTATTTTCAAATGTGCGGTATCTGCGAAACAGTCAGAAGTGTTTTACTTTTACGTAGAGAAGGGAGAGTTCCTGTCCCACAAGAACAACTACCAGCACCTGCTGAACCCATAGTTCCTGTACCCGAAATTGATCGAGTTCCAGAAACCCATGTGGAAGTTGAAAGGCCTCCAGATGTTCCTACAGAACCACAAATTCCTGTAACAGCAACAGCACTTGAGGATGAACAACCACGTCCAACTCCATTGTCACCCCCAACCAAAACTCCACCTCTGCTTCCTCCTGTCCCTCATCCTGCCTCTCCTTCCAGAACAAGGACAGTTTCTGTAAGTAGATATTATGGAAAAGCAATTTATTTTAAAATACTGTAAGATAATTTAAAATTTGGACTGCTTAATGTCATTGGTTGCAACTGAAGAATTTCAATTTACACGAAATATTATAAATTAAAAGATGTTACTTGGTTTTATCACGTGATATGTACATTCATTGATATTCTTTTCCTTTCATTACATATTTAAATATTTTAACAATTTATGTTATGTATATAAACTTTATAATTAATGTGCTTTAAAAATTGCACAGAAGTTAACTTTCATAATTAATGTAAACAGTAAAGTATACCGTTGAAAATGATGTGGGGCAAGCTGTTATGTATTTATTGTTTTCTGAGAATTTAATACATCAGGCAATACAATGCAGAAATTAATTAGCCTGAGTAAACTCTAGTGTTTATTTTCACATGCCGGCCCATGAGATTAAGAACAGCCTTCCCTTGTCCACAAATGTAAAGCTGACAAATCACTAAAATACTGTACAGCAGCTTTCCAGAAAGACTCCAATTTTAATTGTATTTATCTCTAAAATACATACAGACATTATGAGTTGCATGAAATTTGTTTGTTGCCTATGATGTACATTAATGGATGCTAACAGTTGACCTACTGTCTTTTAGTTAACCACAGAAGACATGATTTTAGAATACATTCACATAAATATTTCTACTTTCAACCATATCTGTTTGTTTTAATTCTTTATCCCTTAACATCTAGAGCTTATTTATGGCTCTCTTTCTTTTTTCAGATATCTTGAGCAAAATTGCTCTGGTATTTCGCACCGATCCTTTATTTCCATTATTTGCAATCATCATCACAAATAGAGAGTTCATCTGGGATATAACATTGTGTAGGCCGCACGAAAGTTGACTGACATTTATGAGGCACATACCACCTCCATCTTTCCCTCAGGATCTTAGAGTAAGCCAAGCAAGAAAGTAGCATGATGCAGGCAGTAAGAAGAGCTCTGCATTTATTACTCTTGAGAAGCCAAAGTAACTGTTAGGTAGTTAAACTCATTAACACACTCCACCATTGTTATATTTATTTTCCAAATTTCTTGATTTCCCACTTTCAGACATTTCTTAAAAATACTTCTATGGCTGATTTTCAAATATTGGACTTCAGTTGCCCCCTTCTCCCCCTTCCTGAGCAGAATTTGAAGATTTCAGTAGACCCTGAATGGAAAACATCCAAAATAACAGATCATCTACATTTTAGACCCAAAATGAACATATTGTAACTTGGAACAGTTAATGCCTCAGTGTCAGTAGCCACTTAGGATTTTGTTGTCAGCTTGCTTTGTTCACTACTGTTCAGTGTATGCCACTGCTCTGCTCCTCTAAGTTCTCATTCACAGCTTCATGTCTTTCACACTGATCTCACACATCTGCTCTGCTCAGCTCAGCAACAGTACGAGACTTTTGCAACTACGTTCTATAGCCACAGTCATTCTAGTTGTCTCTTGTGGGTTCTTAGCCAGTCTTATTCTTCCCACTGTCATTATAAAGTCTGTCAAAATCCTCTAGTCCAAATATAATCTAATTATTATTTCTGGTCTGCCCCTCAATCCCATCCACTGTATTACTCATATATACCAATCTCTGTTTTCACTTCAACATGTCTCAAACTGTGTCGTTGACTAATTGCACTAAATAAGGTCTTGAAATTGAAAACATTTTAATGAATTCCTTCGAAGTTTAAAGTCATGCATTCATACCATTTTTTTCACTCACCCATTATAACATTTATTGTCCAGACCTCTACATATCCTATACATTGGAATACCTGTGGCCAGCCCAGGAGCACACTCCAAACACACCCATCTTCCATAGCTCTTTGGAAGCATCGTCCACATACAAGCACTGTGTTTAGTGTTATTGAACACAGAAATCTTAGAAGAGTCGAAGTCAAGTAGTTATCATCCAAGATTTTGTTTGCCAGCTTTCGGAAATTTACACTGTTCCATGCAGAGTATAGTCATTGATGCTGATTGCAGCTGCTAAAATTTCTTCCTTAAATCATTATGGATTGTTTCTGTGAACTAAATCTTAAACCCCCATAAGAAATCACTTGGGCTAAGAATGCTTGACAGGAATAGCCACTTTTGATATTAAGGTCATGGAGATAGTTGCACGCATAGTCACTTCATGGGTTATTGAACATAATGCTGCAACATAATTTTATTAGCTTACCATATTTTGTAATAACTTACATATTACCGTGTATTGTCAAGAATGATATTAGATGTAAAATGAAAATGCAGATTATTCCAGCAGCTGTACTCATCATGTTCTTTGACTGTCCCAAACTGAGGGCCTATTACTGTTGTGTTTTATTAGCTTCCACCACTTGTACTTGAGCAAGATATTCAACTTGCCCCTCCAACCAGGAGACATCAGAAAAGAAAAGTGCCTTTCCAAGATGTACAAACACGTATATCAACAGAAGACATGAAAGCACAAACACAGTCGTGGGGATACACCATGAGGGTTCAGGTAATAACATATTTATTTATGGTTTATGTAACACTGCTGTGAGTAGCTCAGATGGTAGGATGTTGGACTTGAGGTTCTCGCTCAAGTGATCATGTGAAGTGCTATCATCTTGGATGTGACACTGCATAGTCCAGTAGAAGCAAATTTCTCCAAATGAATGCTCTTCAAATGGTAGGATGATTAGATATGGAAGGAAGTGGTCATGATCGAATGTGAGTTACTATCCTGACATTTGCCTGGAGATATTGGAAATACCTGCAAAACCCTCAGTCAGGATAGCTGGTCTCCAGCACTTTGTGTTAAAAATAAAAGTCAGAATGTGGATAATGTCCAAATACTCAATATTTATGTTAATATGCAATTGTTACAAACTTTTAGATCTCACTGCAGGCCAGGATTTGGACTCGTGACATTCTGAATACAAACATGACTTCCATTCTTCTCTTTCAAGGGTGCAAGCAATAGCATGACTTTGGATGAGTGGGATAAATTAGTGTGGAACGTCACATGTCTCTTACTTTCATCACTCTTATTTGTAACTTATAAAAGTTAAAGTTGAAATATAATTATTTTGTTGTTAGAATGCAACTGAAGATCGTCTCAATATTGACCAACACCGCTTCATCATTCCTGCAAAGATGTTGCTTGGAACATTGAGAAACCAACTTCTTCCTGATGAACTGAAGAACTTGTTTGAAAGACATACGCACCCTCATGAAATGCCTGACGAGTCTCTGGAGGAAGAGTCTTGCATTCAGGTGTGTAGCTCCCTTTGGCTACTGACTTTCAGAACTGCAGTACACAATATCTTCAGCCTTATGGAAAGAACAGTTTTATCATGTTGAATATCCTGGTATTTTTATGTGGGAGCTTCCCATCTCAAAATTCAGCTGTAGTTTCAGCTAACTTAAGCGAAACTTTCCATTTTTCACAGTTTTATGGTACAGGTTACCTGAAGTGCTAATGTTACTGCTTTTTATTCAGGATGTACTAAGTGTGAGTTTTGACACTTGGCTGAGGTATTTTATGGTGTTCGTCGGTCTTCCTATAGGCCAGAACTTTCCTGTTTACCATATATAATCATCATCTCACATATTTCGGCAAACAAACTTCTACAGTTGATACAGCCACATTAGATAGATTACCTTCCTTAGTTCTTCCTGAAGAATATGAGATAATACCTAAAACTGTGTATTAGGAACTATTCTCACATCCTGCTGTGGAATTTTGAAACAAATCAAAATTGTAAGAAGAAGGAAATGTACCAAAAATGAAAATGCTTTAATTATAGGTTTGTTTTACCATTGGTATTTAAATATAGAGACCCACAACTCCAGGGCAATCTGCAAATAAACGGACATGGTTAGTGTGGTGGTGAAGAATATTACAAGGTTCAGAGGGAAGAAGAGGTTGGTGTAATCATGATGTTCAGAAATTTAATAATGAACTCTATTGCTTGACATGATATCCGCATATATATTTCACCCATTCCAATGGTTTAGGTTATTGTCATCTGGGTTATGACATCCTGTATATCACTGTTTCAGGGTACATTTTGCCCAGAATGTGCAGGCTGCAACTTTCCTTTCAAATGTTGGTAACCACCTATGAGACTGCACAGTGTCATAACCCAGAAGGCTGAAATCTAGATTATTATCGTCTTTTAAACCTCATATTATATGTAGCGCAATGGTGAATGAACTCACAGTACGTGGTGTGTTCGAGGATTATCAAGGATTCTTTTTCCCACGTAAACCAATGAAACGTGGGAGGCTGCCTTCGGTGGAGATGTGGAGGGGACATCATGCACAGTCGTGAATTTTTTCCCACCCGCAGAAAGGGTCAGTCGCTGGCAGTCGGCCTGTGAGTGAGGACGTGTAGTGAGTGCTCGTCGGATTCCAGTAAGGTGTAAAATGATGGAACAACATGAGCAGCGATACTGCATCAAATTTTGCCAAAAGCTTGCCTATACCCAAGTGGAAACCATTTGCAAGATTCAACAGGCTTTCGGGGACGATGGCATGAGCAACTCACAGATAAATGAGTGGTACAACCGCTTCAAAGATGGCTACACATCAGTGGACAGTGAACCGCGTTCAGGCAGACCCTCAACAAGCCGAAATGAGAATGTCATTGAGCAAGTGCGGACTTTGGTCATGGAGGACCGTCGTATCACAGTCCGAGATTGCGAACGAGATAGGGGTAAGCATTGGATCGGTACATTCAATTTTGACCGAGGATTTGGGCATGAGGAGAGTGTCTGTGAAATTCGTACCGAAACTGCGCATCTGATTCAGACTTTTGTTGCCAAACACAAGATCCCTGTGGTTCGTCGGGCTCCCTACTCTCCCAACATGGCTCCATGTGACTTTTGGCTATTTCCCAAGCTGAAAATGCCGCTGAAAGGAACCTGATTTGAGTCAAGAGGAGACATCATGCAGAATGCAATGGCCCAGCTGATCACCATTCCAAAAGACATGTTCCAGACGTGTTTCCAACAATGGCGGAAGCACTGGGAGAAGTGTGTGCATTACCAAGGAGACTACTTTGAAGGGGATTAGGGTTTTGTACCTCCAAGTCAATAAATGTATTTCTGCCGACCAAAGGTTCTATACCTTTTGAACACACTACGTATGATAATATGGGAGTTATTTACCATATTTACTCATGTAACTTATGCTCCATTTTAACCAGACATTCTAGATGCATACATGTCTTGAACTTTCTGATAACTGCTTTTGTTCTGCATATTAGTGTTCTGTGTCAAAAGGATATGTGTTATATTTACTTGAATGGGAGATGAGTTTTTTCTGCCTCCCCAGTATTTCAAGAGTAATGAAATTATATGTACTTATGAATTCTGGGATATGTTTTGTGTGTGTATTGTCATGTATTAGGGTGACTATTGATGGGACTTTGGATTGGCTATTGGTCTTATTGACCACTTATACACTCACAAGTTGTGGCTGCACTTTACAGATCACTGTCACACACAAACTAGTGTCCTCAGTCTGTTACATCCTACACTAGCCATTTCCTGTCAATTTTATCACAGGAACTATAGCAGTCTCACTGAATTACACACTCCAAATATCACACGTAAGGTTTTCTCTTCACAGATGGACTTTCAACTGACAGCTCTTGCATATAACTTGTGGCCATTTCACACCAGCCTCCTAGTCTTCTCACCACCACGTGACTCTCAACTCACTAAGCTCTAAACCTCATCTCACCTCAGCACAGACTGAGCAGAAAACGCTATTTCTAACAGTGCCTCTATTGTTGCATGCATTTTCATTGCCACAGGAACATGTTTGCTGAGCCATTGCCTAGAAACATGCAGATTCATGTCATATTGTGCTGTGAGAATAGAAAGTAATAAAGACTGATACATTTCAAGGTGAACAGCTGCAAGTTTGCCAGAAGTGCCTTTAGACTTAAAAAAATTAAAGCAGTAATTCACCAATATATATCACAAAATTCTGTGGAAACTCAATTATCCCTCACTATGAAGATGGCAGAAAATTTCACCAGTAACTTGTTTGAAGTGTCAGGTGCTGTTATGATATTAATTTAAGATTAGGGTGAGCAAATAAATAGCTGTTAAAAATAAGAAGATATGGTGTCTCTAGGGCAAACATCTGACAGTGGAAACAACAGAAACAGAAATTAAAGACTGCCAGTTCTATGGAAAAATAATTTTTTGAACAAGCCCAGAGACAGAATATAGTACAAATTACATGCAGCATCACTTAATTCAACAAGCATCAGGAATTTAAGGCCATAACAGGGTGCTGTGTACAGGTAATATGGAGGAATGGGTTTTCTCCATAGTAAAGAACTTCACATTGCTAGAAGTTACTATCACTCATCAGTGAGACACTTCTCACCTTTCCAAAGCTCATAATTCAACTCTGAAAAGCAAGTAATTACCTACTAAGCAAAAGAGGCAATTCTGATGAAACACCAGTGTACAAGTATTTCAGTGTGCCATCCAATTACACCATCTATGATATAAGCACAAAATCTGTTGTCAAAAAATCTTCAGGAAATGAATAGAGTAGACAGACAATGTGAAAGTACCGTCATATATGGAACCGAATCAGAACACCTAAGGTATGAGTGCTTTCGGGACTGCCAGACATGTGACGCTATGGGCTGGATGACTAAATGAAATAATGGAAAACTAGTTACAAGTTGCCAGGAACAAGGGACAAAGGCTATTATTGAGAAAACAAGGAGTGTGTTTAAAGGTCATTTAATGCTGGAAGTCATATCTATAATTCATGCTGTGAATACTGACCTTGGGTCCATACCTGAAGAATGATCCGACAGCAACAAATTCTAGATATTATAGTGAATAGGGATCTCCTCCTCCTCCTTCTTTTTCTTCCTCTGACCCCTTCTTGAGGAGAAGCCAAATCTGCGGCTATTCAAGAATTTCCCAACATTTTATGGAACCCAAAGGTTCATTACCGTGTTCACAAGAGCCTTCCACTCTTCCCTATCCTGAGCAAGATCAATCCCATCCAGTCTCTCTAAGATCCATTTTAATATTGTCCACNCCCCCCATACATTGGTCTTCCCAGTGGTCTCTTTCCTTCTGGCTTTCCCACCAATATCCTATATGCATTCCTCTTCTCCCCCATTTGTGCTACATGCCCTGCCCACCTGATGCTCCTTGACTTGACCATTCTAATTATACTTGGAAAAGAGTACAAGTTATGAAGCTCAGTGAATAGGGATCATTTGAAAAATTGTATCGTGAATGGATCTTGGCAGGAGGCACCAGCTGGGAAAGTAAAAGATCTCATTTGTAGAACCACTCTGCTAAGGGATCAAGACCACAGCAACATATGTTTCCAGAAGTGATAGTCACAGGCCTTAAAACATGCTATATACACTTAACTCTTGATTATCTGGGGGTGGATAAACCAGTTTGCGGCTTAACCGGGGCTGCTGGGGCTTTTTTGAGACTTATATGTTGTTTAATATTCGTTCACTTTTGTTTCACATGGTGAGTTGTAACACAATTTTCGCACTAGTGTGAACCGAGGTCTGCCTTTTTTGGTCCTGTTATGCTAACACAGTGTTCTAGGGTAGGGGTGAAAGAAAAGTTTCAAGGACAGATACACCGCCCTAGTTAGTCTCTTTGTATCGATCTTCAAGTGCGTTAGCAAAATGTCAGGGTGTAAAAGGAAGCGTGTTGTGTTAAGTATTCAATAGAAACTTGAAATTATCAATCAGTTGGGAAAAAGAGGTGTAGTTAAACAATTAGCAATGCAGTATGGTAGTAAGAAAATATCACATGGTGCTGCTCTTAATCATTTGGAATCTTTACTAGACTATCTTGAGAGTGAAGAGAAAAGTTTATTAAGTGACAAGCTAATATTACATAGGCTTCGTATGGATATCTGTAAAAAGGAAAATGCCGCGAAATAGCAAATGGCAAGATTAAATTTTTTTAAGTGTTAAGTGTGAACATTCGTAAAAAGTGTTGGATGTTGTTGAACACTGTGATTGAAATAACTAATTCATACTTCAGTGTAATGTAAAAAAGTATTAAATAGGCCATGAGATGACATAAAAATGAGGTTGACTAAATTTAAATACAGGTAGGCCTATAGTATTATGAAGGTACAGTATTAGAGTACTACTTTTAATAAAATTTGTCTTAACCTGGTTTTCGATTAATCGTGATTTCCATCCCCACCATTATCCCGGATAATCGAGAGTTGAGTGTGAGTGTGTGTGTATA